ACTGAGAGATCATTTCCATCTCCCAAGTCTCGCTAAGACAAAGATGAAATTATTGAACTTTAGTCTTGTGGCGAAAGTCAAAAGATAGAAATATCTTAAAATGCGCTTTTCCGCTCAAAAATGACAGGGTGACTGTGGTTATACAAGCAAGCAAGCTATACAAGCAAAGTCAAACAAAAGTTTATCAAAAAGTTCTGGAGTATGAGATCTGTCTGTGTTGGTGACAATGCGAATACTCAAGGATGCAATGCGTCTGATAGCCTCCTAGTCGCCAATGTTATCACGAAAGATCAGGCGACTGAAACTTCCGCGTTTCACCTAATGCCTAATGATGCAAACTAGACTCCTATAGCACCTCCTGAATAAACATAGTACAAATGACTATCGAATCTTCGTATAAATCTCCCTCGAAGAAGGAAAGGTAATAAGTATCTGTATCAAATACAAAACTATCGTAAATATTTATGAACAAATGATATTTTCCATCAATTCTGTTCTGGTCCATCGCTTGACCTTTCCATTTAGCTTGAAAAATTCAAGACATTGAACGCCAACATTGTACGGATGTTCTATATGTTGCCTCAAACGCTGTTGAACGACATTTATAAAACATTAATAAGCATACTATTTGTTGCTGCCAGGGTGACGGTTTTGCCAACTTTCCGGCCCTTATGACTTAAATCTTTGTATTTGTGCTAGCAGAAGAGAGAAGATCAATGTTACTGACATGCCTTCAAATGAAGACACGAAGAATTGTCGAATTCGTGCCTAGATTTCCCATCTCCAAATGAACGTGCTGATTTGCCGTAGTTCGATTATCACACTTATTGAAGGCATTCTCTTGCAGATATCCTATCCATAGATAATTGTTGCTATGATATTAACTCTTGAAGAGCTCGTAGTTGCCTAGTATCAGTTAACTGTTGTTCTTCATCCATATTATCGTCACATAATGCAATCAGCTTCTCTTACTGCGGCTCAAAACATCTGCATTATTTTGAGCTTTGTAGAATTGTGTTCTATAACCAGACTTGAGTCAAACAAAGATGCAGTTGACGTGGGCACAAAAAAAGAAGTGGTTTTGAAGGCAAATTTAGTAAAACATGTCAGATAGGCTTCGATCTTGTGAGACCAAGCGACTCGTGTTAGGCTCCGGCTCGAATCCTCTGGAGCCCGAGCATTAAGTGATAGATGCATAGTATTGGGATTGGCGGTAAAGTCTACCTTTTTCTTCTTGATCCTATAAAATTCCGGAAACTCCTTAAAACTCCATGTACGCTTTTGATTTTGGCATGGTGATGACTCCTTACGTGCAGTTGCTAGGCCTTGATCAAGTTTGGTAACCCTTTATTAAGCTTACGTTTTGGCTTTTCGCCTTCGTCGGAGCTTAGAAAGTGAGAAAATTGATTAAACTCTTTTTGCTTCATCGCTATAAAAGAAAGATCTGTGAATGCTTATAAACAGCTTACCCTGAACTTGCTGATTGAGGACTGCAGACTACCCTGCATGGGTTAAGTGAACAATGTCGCAATGAGCTACGGCCTCCGGGTATAGAGGGTGTTGGTCAAAATCCTCATAACCTTATGAACGGCCTGAATACTTATGGCAATACATGCCTCTTTTCATTTCTGACATTTCCGCGAATAGCTGGTAGGTTTCTAATGTTTTACTTTTACCTCTGACTCTCGCGAGAGGACTGATATAGAACTATAGAAAACTGAGTTTCGGTGGAGCAGCTTGCGCTGCGTACCTAGTGGCGTGGATAGCCTTGATCTGCGCATCCCCCCCCCCCCCCCTCCTATGTGCTCTTTGATTCTCGAACACACTTAGTTCTGTCATTGACGTGGTTATGTGGCGACGAGTACGCTGGCAAGAGCTTCCGTTTTGTCAATGTAGATACTCATCGCCACATGATTTACACATCAAGAGATAGATCACACCTGACATACAGTCACCATGTTTATTCGTAGCGCTATCAAACTTTCCGCTGTCATGCAGACCTTACTGTGTGCTCTACTTCTTACCAAACGCAGCTTATGATATAGGGGAAAGCCAACAACTCGTAACGATTCCTGCTGCCCGCCTTTCGCACTGACGTTCTGGTCACGCCGCTCAACGCGTCCGAAATAAAGGGTGAAACAAAAAACACCTGTTACTGGTTCCCCCTGCAGCCGGACAGTGCAACGTCTTTTTGGGCTCATACCTGTCAGCCCCAATCTGAAGTTCCTGACTGATGCGGCATCAGTGCCATTAAGTGGCACCTTTTTTGGCCATTCGGAGCGTTTTTTAATCATACTGATTTTTGTACAGACAAGATGCGCACAAAATTTACGTATCACGATTTTTTGCTGCTGTGAGCTCCCTACCAATTCTACGTTCTCCTTTGTTCCTGTTCTTATCTCGAAATTGAGGATTGGCAACCAGTCGTCTTTTGGTTTTCTTTAGTAGACCGTAGTCAGCAGTATTGCTTGTTGGGCGAATCGAAACAGGCATCCGTTTCTGCCTGTGTATGACAAACGATGGGACACTCGTCGAGTAAAGCGACAGCAGAACATAAGTAGATGCCAAGCGTTGTCCCTAGCTACTCTCCTTAGTTGCCTAAAGTGCGCATGACAAGCGGGAATTCGAACGGTCGAGCACACCTTTAGTAGCGCCAGTTCTAATTGTAGAACCAAACTTAGGTTGTTGATGTTATGACTTAACATTCAAGCACAGCCTACAGCGCAGTGAGATTTGAGACGTAAGTGTATGGTGTAAATACATCAAAGGATTCTATGACATTAATCACATTCATCATTGCTCTAAAGACGAAAAAGACGACTTCATCCACGTTTCTTGTGCTCGCGACATCGCGAAGTTCCATTTTATTAAGATGAGGCAATTTCTATTGAGACAAACATCCGGATAGTTCAAAATCTGTTCTGCATTTCAAAGTAAAAAAAGTGGGTTTTATACAAAGTTTATTACATTTTCGGATCAAACATATCGTTTTCCTATTAACCTGCATGAAATCAATTAGGGAGCGGGTACATCAAAGAACTTTGGTTGGAGTCAATGATACTTTTCTCCAAAAAAAAGACCATGAGATATAACCTCTCAAACTGGAAAATGAACATACACGAATACTGAACTAAGACGCTTGTGAGGCAATGCGATGGAGATACGCATACATAGTGACAGTACGGAACAGGATGAGGAGAGTGTCAAAGTTTTGAGAGGGACTAGAATTGCTATCTTGCACGAGTCAAACCGATAAAAGGGATATGTATTTGCGTCATCATTAAGGTAACAAATGCAAGTGATAGCGAAGAGGGTCCATGGAAATTCTAACAATTGTTTCATTGTTAGCATTACACACTGTAATCAGTTTATTAGTAGGCAGTCGTTGATAATCATGATTACCGTGGGGCAATCTTGCTATGTGCAATGCTGACAATGAAACAACTAAAAAGCATATGATAGCGAAGAAGACACATAATGATTCTGACAATTGTGATCAAGTCTTTATTAGTAGGCGGTCATCGGTAATCATGATTAAAGTAGGACAAATTTCTTGCGGTACGACCCGAATGCGTCTAATGTGACTCTTGGCCAAGAAAGCAGGAGTGTAGTTTGCAGATAAAGTAGGCTTTTGATCCTCGGATAAGGATGAAATTGTAATCCTCAACCCGGTGAGACCCTTTAAGTCAAACTGGACTGCTGAGAAAACGAGTAGTGACAAAATGCACACGTATTCCGCGACCGCCGACCGGTATGGAACTGAAAAAAACCGGTCAGATGTTGGCAATGAAAGTGGTGCAAATCTTGATTAATCTCTGACAGTAAGTACAACATTACTTTTATGCTGTGTCAGCACTGGACGTTGAAATTATAGACTGGTGTAGTGCATTTGGTTTAACACCAAATTTCCACAAGGGCAAACTTTACGAATGGTGAGCACGAGCTGGCGTCAAAGGAGTTGAAACATCCTCAGCTTCATTAGAAGGCTACATATTGGTTGACAAAATGATACTCATTTCGCGTGATAGGTCCTTTTGTCATGTTTACAGTAGGTACAGGTATACGATATACTTCGATATCTCATTGGACGCTCAAAATTTGCATGATGGGATGATGCGGCATGCTGTTCATTCGTCACGCATTCATTCACAGTATTTCGCATTCATTCAGTATGCAATACTGTCGATTGTTCATAAACGCTACAATCTTATACTTGATCTTACCCTTAATAACCAACCTTCTTCTTTGTTGTTACAAAAATAAAAATACTGAAGCGACTTACTCGCGGAAAACATCGTACGAAGCAGCAGCTAAGACTGGAGAAAACTCACTGGAGGCATGGCAGGGAGGTTTTCCCGTGTAGTAATTTAGCAGTATTGCATGAACCTTGGGTGCGCAGACGGAATATGCAATCAGACATAATACCTTCACGTTGAAAAGCTTCGAAGAAAACTGAAATATCATCTTATGAGGAATATGTCGCTAATGATGATTCCTTCATACTAAGCCGCGTACGCCGCTGCAGCGCAATGGAAATATGCTCACGGCAGCAAAGCTCCACTTTTTTGATGTATCTCTATATTTGCTGCACATTCGTGTCCCTCAATAGTGTTCCTTCACTTTAGGCATTTCTTCTTCTCTTTTGCCTTGTTATCCTGACTATCCTTTGTCTATATCAATGGTTGATGGAATGCCTTAGATTGTTGTGCTCCCTCTACTTTAGAATTCACATTTTGTATCGTATCTGACTGCACATTGCGTCATCTGGTTGTATATTGGTAGTATATGGTTGTATGGTTGTATGTTGTATCTGGTTGTATATTTGCGCTGTTAACATCTCCTTACAAACACATCACTGGATGAAAAGATTTCTCTTCTTGATATTTCCGTATTTCTATTGCTCTGCAGCGGCGTACGCGGCATAGCATGAAGGAACCCTGAGGTGTTGTTTGCATTAAACTATAGATTTCGCAAGGAAAAGGTCTGACAGCCTCACGCACTTTTTTCAAATCGAATCTATCCAGCGTCACGCATAAGGCTCCATTCACAATGAATAAAGCAGAAAATATGGGAAAGTTGTAGGGCATCAAAAATCTCACTAAAACGATAAACAGTACGATGAGTCTTTACAAGCTATTTCAGCACCTGTTTTGTCTTGCTGTTGTTGTAGAGATGCCATTATCACGAGCATAGCTGAGGATAGTAGTTCCAGTAAAGGTTGAAGGGTGCAGATGGACTGGACAGATTTATCTTCGAAAAATGTTAAAATCCTTGCGTTTCGTACCAAGCAGAGAACAAACTGAATGTTTGTGGAGAGATTTTCATTGATATAGTATCATGTAATCTTAACTTTCCGTAACTCACCTTGGGATTCAGCCCAAGCAGCACAGTTATACGCAGTAATACTTGAGCAGTGATATTTATTTCAAGCACTCTTGGCAGCGAAGGTAACCAACCTTGCGGAAGTGTCTTTTGCTAAAGCACCGTTGACGAAAATCACTCGAAAGGATCTTAAGGTCTCTTACATGACAGTAGTTTGAAGACGAGGTTCCAAAGTAGTAGCGAACCAGTTTTTTACGTTGCGTTTTGTGTGAAAGATGGCTCCCGGCGGTGGCTTTGCCCAAGTAAAGCGATGAGTTGGTGATGCTTGAGCGAGGCTTCGCCAGCCAGTTCCTAAATATCAGCAGTAGGAAAGTTGAGGTTGAATGGTAAATTTTCATAGGTTTATTTTCTGCGGTGCCAACGTCTGTCTACTATTGACAATACTAGTACAAAAGGTTGCTAATGATAAGTTATGCTATTTGCTCATTTGTTATAGACTGTCATGCTCGCATACAGTCACACCAATGAGTTACGCACGTCGAATGAAACTGCAAGAAATGAGTAGAGGACTGCATGTCGCCGAGATGGGGCGCTCCTTGCGGTCATCTGCAATAATATACGCACTCTTTCATATGCATGAAGGTGCGTTTGTGCAAGAACTTCGCGTCGGACCCTCCTACATTCGGCGACATATAATCCTCCACCAAGGAATAAACATCTACGAGCACCGCCCAGGCAAGATCTATGCTCTTTCAATTAGTGCCTAGCCTACAAGAAAGCCCTAGGTGTGAGCCATCGCGTTGGTCCTTTCCTCTAATGTTGCGATAAAATGGACTTGGAACCCGCGAAAGTGCAATTAAGTCACGCCCGCCCTATTAAGCTCCCCCTTTTCAGATAGTGAAAGTCGTCTGTGCTTTCAAAAAAAAAGGTTTCCAGAAATCGTGTTTCTGGCGGTGCACAATTTGCGCTTCATATCTCCAATCACGACCACAGGAAAAGTCTAGAATGGCAAAATTTATGGAAGACGAAGAGTTGAGTGGATGCTGCCCAACCCGCCTACATTTCCTAGCATTGCATTAAAACTGCAAAAGTAATGTCAGTTTTGCTAATTTTCAATTCGATAGGCCTACACTTGGTCATTATATTTCCGAGTGTAATAAAACGCAACAAACTGCATCTATCTTACCATATGACAAACGGGGAGAAAATCACGCATTGGAAAACAAACTTTTCTTCCTAGAAAATTCTTTTTTCGTTTCCAACAAGTGATAACTCCCTTTAAGGTTTGTTATTATGGCTGATAATTAGTTCATTTTGTAGTTGCAAGTGCGAAGAAAGGGCTTCAACGATGAAGCTCTGGGAAAAGAAAAGAAGAGAAATCCAAAGTTGGATGCACTTTCTTCACAATCCTGGTAGAATATTCGGTATATTAGCGAGTAGCATATCCTGAACTTCAAATCTGTACTGTAGATGCTGATAGATGTTGACCTTTTACTCGGTATTGTAGAAGCTTGCTTTGGTGTCATAACGACATACAAGCTATGTATGGAAAGCAAGATGTGAGCGGCAGATGGAAATAGTAGGAAAAATTACGTCTTGTTTCCATAGTTGTTCATCGGGAGGACCTCTTTTCTATGAGCAGCATAGCCGGCTAATAATATGCAAATAGTGCTGCCTAAGATAAGACAACGATGAAGTGTCGACGCGTCTATAGAAACGTGGAGCCATTCTTCTTCATCGTTGTTGTGAGACATTGCGAAACTTCGCCTGAAAAAGAATATTTCCATATTCTGCCGAACTTGTGGTGTTCGAAGGACACTGTCTGGCTATGTACTGTACTTCTTACTCTGCACCATTAAGAATGATGTAAACTCTTTGACAATTCATGTTAACTTCCCGAGGGTTTCATTCAGTACAGAGACAAATGGAAGCGCAAAAATGGGAAATTTGCGAGAACATTAGCATGAGGAGCAACGCACTTAGGAACTTTTCGAGGACCTCCTCGGAAAAGGTTCAAGATTCCAAAAATAACTGAAGAATCAAATACGATTGTATATAATGCTCACTTCGTTAGCTAATCTACCGTAAGGGTGAGCACTCATTGATTTCGTCGTCTTCATGTTTTATATCGATTTCATAAACATATGCTGAAATTTCTCTCGCAGTCCGAGTTGTCCGCAAACTTGTTTTTCATGTTCCTTTCTATTTCTTGGCATCTACTCAGATAATCGCCGAGGGCAGGCGGCATGCGATTTATGGACGGGCGTTTTCATTTTAACATTTTCGGGCACCGGAAAAATTTGCGGTCCGCTTGAGATTTTAGACGAATGCTTGGAGAACAATCGCGGTTTCCTTATAGATTAGCTGCGGCGCAGTGGCCGCATTCTTGCGGACTTTCCACGAGAATGTGCAAGATTTTCGGGGGCCGCACGGTCCTTTGTGGAAGACCGCGCAGCCCTCAGATACTTTCCGCTGAGGGAAAGTACCTCAAACTTGAGTAATTGAACCATCGATGACACGTTTGCCATGAAGAGTCTCACCTTTGCCAGCTGATTTGACCAGCGCTCGCTGAATCGCTGAAAGAGATTAATTGACGAGCGCCTGCAGAAAATTCTGTGTTGCTGCCCGCTGGCAGAACATTAGACAGTAAAGGAAGTACCGCTCGCTAGAGATTTTTCCACGACCCAAAATTCTGTTGCCCGCTTGCAGAAAAGCGCGAGTCTGTGGACCGCCTGCCCCCGGCGACCGCCCGTCCCTAACGGTGGTGCAATCAAGTTTCTATCCTCTGTGAGAATTTCTCCAGCACTTTGCTCAGCCGCACAAGAAATTGAAATTTTGCGGCTTTCGCTTTCTTGATCACAATTCAGGCAATATTTTTTCTGGTAAAGGCCGCGGCTTTGAGTAGAAAAAATACTTCCGCTCATAGAATCAAACCACTTAATTTCCAATTGTAATACAGTTTTTTTAAGCTGTTGACCAAGGTTGGTTGCAAGACTTTATTTAACGACAAGCCAACGTTTTGGCGGTTCCTCCGCCTTCTTCAGGGCTTCCTCAGCCTTGCTAGATCGGGATGTATAGAACCGAACAACCAGTGCTGCTCTGTAGCTGAGCTATGTGTGAGTGTGAGTGAAACACTTAATTTCCGTCAAACTCAAATCGAGCACTCCTCGCTTTGCCCTACGAAGTTTTTTCTAGAGAAATAAACACAATTTCTTCCGCATTTCTTGCAAATAATTTTTTGAACTCCTTTTTTCCTTCTAAAAATTCTGGCCTTTTGTCTCACTTCCCAAAACATCTTCCACAGCGCTTCAAAATCTTTCTACTTTTCAAGATTGATCGGCGGGCTGCATTCTCTAACTTTTTACGGAGACTGTTTTTCTACTCTCGGCACTCACATAAAATTTGCTCGAAAACTCATCTGAAAAGCATCGGAAGACTTAGCACAATTCGTTTTAAACTGCATTGTGAGTTCTCTTCTTATAAAAGTTGTTTAAAATTGTATTGTAATTGTTGCGTTTGCAAAACGGTACCTTCTACATTAACAAGCGAATGCAGAAGATTGAAGATTTATGTTTCAGAGAGAGTATCAGAATGTTGCGTAAGTTTTGTTGCAGTTCAAATTTTAGAGCCATACGTCATACACCTCATTTGGGCTTCAAGGCAGCATTTGATAGAGGAGGCAAGCTGTACAAAAGAGTAAGCAAAAGTATGCACTAGCTTCGACCAGCTTCGATGTTCGAAGTCAAGTCTGAGTGATGCTTAATGCATAAAAACTTTGGAAAAATTCACATCTTTGTTCAGAAAAATCCTGCGGATCTCCCTCTTGCTCACACGAATCACACTCGACATCAGAATGGATGTTATGCTGTTTCCATACAAGTGGTTGTATACTACAAGTCTTAAGAAGTTAACTGCAAATCTTCAGCTTCCCACGAGCACTACTTTTCGAGATATTTTGAGTTTAGCGTGGGACGCCGCTTGAGAAGAGCTACATTTCGAAGGGGGCTAAAAACTAAATCACGTTGAACTTCTAAACGCTTGTGATGTACATCTATAGGTAGCAGCATAGCTTCGCTTCTGCAAAAGCATGAAAATTTTCGTTTTCGCGACTTCAGCTGATGAACAAATATAGCAACGGTACTATGAGTGTCTGATGTAGAGTATAACTCTTGGGAGCAAGTGGAAGATCCGTAGGAATTTTTTGAACGAAGATATAAATTTCTCCTAATTTTTTGAACTTTTAGTACAACTCATATTTTGGCTCCAGACTTGAGATGTATCAAAGCTGGTGCGAACTACCACACACCATCTTGTAGATGTTTGCTTTGCTATATTGAATGGTGTATTGAAGCCCTATCAAAAATATAAGGTCTATGGCTTAATGCCGTGAGAATTTGATGTGTAACAACACTTATGGACGCTTACCACCAGTTTTCTAGGCTGTGCTCAACTTTGCTCAGTTTCTTAGATGGCATTGATGTGGAGCTGGCTATGTCGTAGTTCCAGTCAATTTTGTATAGCTGAAGATAAAGAAAAGGTAGCAGAGAATTATAGCCGAGATGGAATCAACTAATCCAGCTTACAATTAGCTTGACTTGATGACATTGAAAACGTTACAAGCACAAAAGGAAATCCAAGTTAGCACAAATTATCGTCCACTGATGGTTACAGATTGTCTCTAGCTTCAGGAAGGGATCGGCGGAGGGGGGGGGGGGAGGGAGCGGGAGGAGGAGGTTATGATATGATAAACAGTATGGAAGCGGAATGTGCATAAGTAAAGAAAGAGATCTGGATAATCGTACATCGGTCGTTGTTGACATCGGGTGGGAGCCCTTGTGTTTTATCAAGAAGTAATGATATTATATACAGAGCGTCCCAAAAAGATGTGCACACTGTTTGATCGTTAATAACTCTCTTGCTTTCATGTCTTTTGCCGAGCTTGAGGTACCATTTTGTAGAGCGAGGTTCAACTTAGATTTTCAGTATGGAGCGAATCATCGGTCACTCTTCATTACTGTGAGATTATGGTATGAATTTCTAGCATACATCGTCACTGTGGAATAGGCCTTTCAATGAAATATTTTCAAAAAAATTTGAAAATTTGTGTAGCAAGGTTTTCAGGTGTGCTGATTTCACTACTCAACTTTTCATCAGTTTTTCGAGCTTTCTTGATGGCGTAGTCACATTTCTGACGAACATTGAAAAAACAGTTGCCTAAATCTGAAATAACTTAAAAAAGAAGCACTATACTAAAGCGCTAATTTCTTATCTAGAATCAGCGACTTCGATTAGCTTACTTCAAGAGTTTCTGGCTTGTTTAGCTTTCTTTCTGGGCCAAATTAGTGGCAAATTACCGCTTTCAATGGCTCAAAATCCTCCACGAATTCCCTACAGTAATCTTACAGTAATGAAGAGCGACCGATGATTCGTTCCACACTTCAAATCTAAGTTAAACCTCGCTCTACAGAATGGTACCTCATGCTCTGCAAAAGACATGAAAGCAGAAGAGTTATTAACGATCAAACAGTGTGCACATCTTTTTGGGACACCCTGTATATATGTATTAGGTTGGTTCATAATTAATGCACCTTTCTCCTACCTCTTCTTTCAAACGCTAGTTTTCAATCAAAAATCGTTTTTCTCTAGAACCATCTAAACTATCGGAAAGCCCGTTTCCTCTACTTTCAAACATACACTTTCTTTTTCGGAGATCTTTATTCAGACCGAAGTTCCATGCCTTCAAAGGTGAGGAACTCAAACTTGAAATTTTTTCCTTTCATTCGACTCTACCTAATTCCATGAAAAATGCTCAAATTTGTTTCAAAAAATATGTATTATACTCGCGAAGATTTGTGCTACAAAATGCTCACCAAGGCTAAATTTTTTAGAAATCCTGAGCCGAGAAGCTTTGACTCAAACTTAGCTGAATGCTGGGATCACTCGGAGTTTTATAAAAGCTTATATGAGAAGCAATTACAGAACTTTCACTTGGTTTTGGTAGAGTAGGCCAAAGACTACTAATTATAGGAAAACGGCAAAATTTTCTCGTTTTTGAAATGAGAAAAAATCGGAGGAATCTAGAAAATACAGATTTTTGCCTTCTCTAAAATGCAGGAGAAAATGGTACTTTTGCTTTCTTGGCAATACTTTTTCCGCAGAAAATTTTTGGTAAAAGCCAAGTTCCATGCTACTACTGAATCGACCATCAGCAACACAATGAGCAAAGTTTGCTCCAATCCTTTTGAGAGTAAGTTATGCTTCTTCAAACTAGAGCTTTCCAGAAAAAATTCTCGGTAAATTTCGAGCTGTAAAATCTTTCCCGTGGTGAGTGCAATCACACAAAAGCATAGATTGTACAGCTAAAAGTTTGCTGTTTACAATAGTTTTTGTTGCGTTTGGAAAGATTGTTTCGGAAAAAAATTATCTTCATTAGAAGTGGAAGTTGAGAAAACGTGTATTGATTATGAACCAACCTAATATATACAGGGTGCCCCAAAAAAATGTGAACACTGTTTGATCGTTAATAACTCCCTTGCATTCATGTATTTCGCCGAGCTTGAGGCACCATTCTATAGAGCGAAGTCTAGCTCAAATTTATGGTATGGAGCGAGTCGTATATCTCTCTTCATTACTGTAGGATTACGGTAGGAACTTTGACAAGGATTTTGAGCCATTGAAAGCAATATTCCGCCTCGGAACAAAACCAAACAAGCCAAAAACTTTAATACATGGGAAATGGAAGCCGCTGAGTTCG